GTTTTTAGCCGAAAAAAACGACCATGTATGGTAAGGCGTGTTCTGCACTTTCGGTGTATTTGACATGCACTTTCGAGGGTTTCCAGGAAAAAGTAACTAAGTGTTGTATTTTCACATAACTGGGTGGGGTTTGAACCGGGGTTGCCAGGACCGAACGCCAGCGTGAATACCTCTACACTACCAGTAACTGTGACTTGTCCTGCACTACAGGCATATTTTACACCAACAATTGAGGGTTTCCAGGAAAAAGCAACTAAGTGTTATATTTTCACAAAACTGAGCGGGGTTTGAACCGGGGTTGCCTGGACCGAACGCCGGCATGTACACCTCTACACTACCATTGACTGTGACTTACCCTGTAAGACAGGCGTATTTGACTTGCACTTTTGAGGGTTTGCAGGAAAAAGTAACTGTTTTATTTCCACACATAACCGAGCAGGGTTTGAACCTGGGTTGCCTGGACCGAACACCAGCATGGATACCTCTACACTACGAGTGAATGTGACTTGTCCTGCACTATAGGCGTATTTGACCTGCACTTTCGAGGGTACATGTTAACCAATGGGTGTTGTTTTTAGCCCCCAAAAAAGGACCACGTATAGTCAGACAATGCAGGTCTCGGACTTACTATACATGGTCGGTTTTTTCGGCTAAAAACGCCTTCCTATACATGGTCGTTTTTTTCCGGCTAAAAACGCCTTCCAAAACATGGTCGTTTTTTTCGGCTGAAAACGCCTTACTATACATGGTCGTTTTTTCGGCTAAAAACGCCTTACTATACTATGTCGTTTTTTTCATGCCAAAAACGCCTTACTATACTATGTCGTTTTTTTCATGCCAAAAACGCCTTACTATACTATGTCGTTTTTTTCATGCCAAAAACGCCTTACTATACTATGTCGTTTTTTTCATGCCAAAAACGCCTTACTATACTATGTCGTTTTTTTCATGCCAAAAACGCCTTACTATACTATGTCGTTTTTTTCATGCCAAAAACGCCTTACTATACTATGTCGTTTTTTTCATGCCAAAAACGCCTTACTATACTATGTCGTTTTTTTCATGCCAAAAACGCCTTACTATACTATGTCGTTTTTTTCATGCCAAAAACGCCTTACTATACTATGTCGTTTTTTTCATGCCAAAAACGCCTTACTATACTATGTCGTTTTTTTCATGCCAAAAACGCCTTACTATACTATGTCGTTTTTTTCATGCCAAAAACGCCTTACTATACTATGTCGTTTTTTTCATGCCAAAAACGCCTTACTATACTATGTCGTTTTTTTCATGCCAAAAACGCCTTACTATACTATGTCGTTTTTTTCATGCCAAAAACGCCTTACTATACTATGTCGTTTTTTTCATGCCAAAAACGCCTTACTATACTATGTCGTTTTTTTCATGCCAAAAACGCCTTACTATACTATGTCGTTTTTTTCATGCCAAAAACGCCTTACTATACTATGTCGTTTTTTTCATGCCAAAAACGCCTTACTATACTATGTCGTTTTTTTCATGCCAAAAACGCCTTACTATACTATGTCGTTTTTTTCATGCCAAAAACGCCTTACTATACTATGTCGTTTTTTTCATGCCAAAAACGCCTTACTATACTATGTCGTTTTTTTCATGCCAAAAACGCCTTACTATACTATGTCGTTTTTTTCATGCCAAAAACGCCTTACTATACTATGTCGTTTTTTTCATGCCAAAAACGCCTTACTATACTATGTCGTTTTTTTCATGCCAAAAACGCCTTACTATACTATGTCGTTTTTTTCATGCCAAAAACGCCTTACTATACTATGTCGTTTTTTTCATGCCAAAAACGCCTTACTATACTATGTCGTTTTTTTCATGCCAAAAACGCCTTACTATACTATGTCGTTTTTTTCATGCCAAAAACGCCTTACTATACTATGTCGTTTTTTTCATGCCAAAAACGCCTTACTATACTATGTCGTTTTTTTCATGCCAAAAACGCCTTACTATACTATGTCGTTTTTTTCATGCCAAAAACGCCTTACTATACTATGTCGTTTTTTTCATGCCAAAAACGCCTTACTATACTATGTCGTTTTTTTCATGCCAAAAACGCCTTACTATACTATGTCGTTTTTTTCATGCCAAAAACGCCTTACTATACTATGTCGTTTTTTTCATGCCAAAAACGCCTTACTATACTATGTCGTTTTTTTCATGCCAAAAACGCCTTACTATACTATGTCGTTTTTTTCATGCCAAAAACGCCTTACTATACTATGTCGTTTTTTTCATGCCAAAAACGCCTTACTATACTATGTCGTTTTTTTCATGCCAAAAACGCCTTACTATACTATGTCGTTTTTTTCATGCCAAAAACGCCTTACTATACTATGTCGTTTTTTTCATGCCAAAAACGCCTTACTATACTATGTCGTTTTTTTCATGCCAAAAACGCCTTACTATACTATGTCGTTTTTTTCATGCCAAAAACGCCTTACTATACTATGTCGTTTTTTTCATGCCAAAAACGCCTTACTATACTATGTCGTTTTTTTCATGCCAAAAACGCCTTACTATACTATGTCGTTTTTTTCATGCCAAAAACGCCTTACTATACTATGTCGTTTTTTTCATGCCAAAAACGCCTTACTATACTATGTCGTTTTTTTCATGCCAAAAACGCCTTACTATACTATGTCGTTTTTTTCATGCCAAAAACGCCTTACTATACTATGTCGTTTTTTTCATGCCAAAAACGCCTTACTATACTATGTCGTTTTTTTCATGCCAAAAACGCCTTACTATACTATGTCGTTTTTTTCATGCCAAAAACGCCTTACTATACTATGTCGTTTTTTTCATGCCAAAAACGCCTTACTATACTATGTCGTTTTTTTCATGCCAAAAACGCCTTACTATACTATGTCGTTTTTTTCATGCCAAAAACGCCTTACTATACTATGTCGTTTTTTTCATGCCAAAAACGCCTTACTATACTATGTCGTTTTTTTCATGCCAAAAACGCCTTACTATACTATGTCGTTTTTTTCATGCCAAAAACGCCTTACTATACTATGTCGTTTTTTTCATGCCAAAAACGCCTTACTATACTATGTCGTTTTTTTCATGCCAAAAACGCCTTACTATACTATGTCGTTTTTTTCATGCCAAAAACGCCTTACTATACTATGTCGTTTTTTTCATGCCAAAAACGCCTTACTATACTATGTCGTTTTTTTCATGCCAAAAACGCCTTACTATACTATGTCGTTTTTTTCATGCCAAAAACGCCTTACTATACTATGTCGTTTTTTTCATGCCAAAAACGCCTTACTATACTATGTCGTTTTTTTCATGCCAAAAACGCCTTACTATACTATGTCGTTTTTTTCATGCCAAAAACGCCTTACTATACTATGTCGTTTTTTTCATGCCAAAAACGCCTTACTATACTATGTCGTTTTTTTCATGCCAAAAACGCCTTACTATACTATGTCGTTTTTTTCATGCCAAAAACGCCTTACTATACTATGTCGTTTTTTTCATGCCAAAAACGCCTTACTATACTATGTCGTTTTTTTCATGCCAAAAACGCCTTACTATACTATGTCGTTTTTTTCATGCCAAAAACGCCTTACTATACTATGTCGTTTTTTTCATGCCAAAAACGCCTTACTATACTATGTCGTTTTTTTCATGCCAAAAACGCCTTACTATACTATGTCGTTTTTTTCATGCCAAAAACGCCTTACTATACTATGTCGTTTTTTTCATGCCAAAAACGCCTTACTATACTATGTCGTTTTTTTCATGCCAAAAACGCCTTACTATACTATGTCGTTTTTTTCATGCCAAAAACGCCTTACTATACTATGTCGTTTTTTTCATGCCAAAAACGCCTTACTATACTATGTCGTTTTTTTCATGCCAAAAACGCCTTACTATACTATGTCGTTTTTTTCATGCCAAAAACGCCTTACTATACTATGTCGTTTTTTTCATGCCAAAAACGCCTTACTATACTATGTCGTTTTTTTCATGCCAAAAACGCCTTACTATACTATGTCGTTTTTTTCATGCCAAAAACGCCTTACTATACTATGTCGTTTTTTTCATGCCAAAAACGCCTTACTATACTATGTCGTTTTTTTCATGCCAAAAACGCCTTACTATACTATGTCGTTTTTTTCATGCCAAAAACGCCTTACTATACTATGTCGTTTTTTTCATGCCAAAAACGCCTTACTATACTATGTCGTTTTTTTCATGCCAAAAACGCCTTACTATACTATGTCGTTTTTTTCATGCCAAAAACGCCTTACTATACTATGTCGTTTTTTTCATGCCAAAAACGCCTTACTATACTATGTCGTTTTTTTCATGCCAAAAACGCCTTACTATACTATGTCGTTTTTTTCATGCCAAAAACGCCTTACTATACTATGTCGTTTTTTTCATGCCAAAAACGCCTTACTATACTATGTCGTTTTTTTCATGCCAAAAACGCCTTACTATACTATGTCGTTTTTTTCATGCCAAAAACGCCTTACTATACTATGTCGTTTTTTTCATGCCAAAAACGCCTTACTATACTATGTCGTTTTTTTCATGCCAAAAACGCCTTACTATACTATGTCGTTTTTTTCATGCCAAAAACGCCTTACTATACTATGTCGTTTTTTTCATGCCAAAAACGCCTTACTATACTATGTCGTTTTTTTCGGCTAAAAACGCCTTCCTATACATGGTCGTTTTTTTTCGGCTAAAAATGCCCTACTATACTGTATCTGTCAAGGGTGTAAAAGGGATGGCGGAGGAAAAGGCTTTCCTCCCCCTTCCTAATATTAGGACTTTAGTTATCTTTTGTTTTCTTGGACTTTTTTTTTTTTGAACAAGCGACGCTCACTTCCAAATGACGAAATGTACATTGCATCAAATCCTAGTTTTAAATATTCGAACTTTTCCATTTTTTCCCGGCATACTGAGGTTCTATACAGCGCCGCCTCTTTGTGACCCGTTGCGTGCGCGCCGAAGTCAGCAGTCAGACAAGGATATTGGTTGGAAATTCATATCCTGTTTTATTCTTCACGTGTGACACAACAAAACACACGCGCGCGCGCACACACACACACACACACACACACACACCGCCTTGTTGTAATAATGGAACAAGACAAGGTATCTGGGGACGCACTGATCAAATAATTGTATCACACATACACACACTCATCAGAGAATTGAAAGAATATGGGCCAAGAGGACAAGGAGTGTTCTTAAAGGGGATTTGACGGCGCTTTAAGGATCCGGTGACGACGACGAAACGACGTTCAGTGAAAAGGTGTTCATTTTAATCGCGGCAGCATCAGAGCAGAATGAGACAAAGGCGGAATTGTGTCAAGTTGAGCACGAGTGAAGCTTTGATGCTAGCGGGGCGGAAAGCACGAGCAGGGAATCTAAAAAAAAAAAAAAAAAAAAAAAAAGAGCGCTGAAGGCCACTTTTAACAGTAAACCAGCATTTGTGATCTTCAAAACCCACATAAAAAATTAGGGCCCGACCCATTAAAATTGTCTTACATTTTGACGACTTTTTTTTAAGCACACATTAACAAAAATGACATTCGAACATGCTCTCCCTTAAAAAAAAAAAAAAAAAACTTTGCCAATTTTTCTCTATGTTGTCAAGTTATTTTCCTCACTACTTATTTACGTAATCAGCCAATTATTTTATTCTCGGTTTAAAAAAAAAAAAATCCATATTGGTCGGGCCCCCAAAAAATCGTCAAGTTGCGATCATTTTTTCAAAAAACAAAACAAACCAAAAAAAAAAGTAGTAAATAAATAAAATGGTCATCCAGCACATCCAGATGTTCAATGTTTAAACTACAGTGGACTTACGAGTAATTCGGATTTGTCCACTTCTTTCTTCTGAAGTGCGCTCACAATGACACAACTTGCAAAACTTGAAAGTTGCAGCACTCGGAAGTCAAATTACCACGACGAGCAATGTCGTAATTTCGGCTCTTCATGAGGTTTTGTTGGGTTCTCCAAAAAAAAAAAAAAAAGACAAATGCTTTTGGGCAAATGATCCTGTTAGAGGAAAAAAAAATTACAAAGAAATATTTCTGGAAGAAATCTAAGTGGAAGCTCTGTGTGAATTTTACGAAGGAGAAAAAAAAAAAACGATGTTAAAATATGTTACAATACAGAACATCAAATTGAAATACTGCGTGAAAAAAGTTGGAATGCCAGAAAAAGTTGTAATGCTACATATTCTCGAATTACAAATGTTCGTGTTCTTTAAGAAAAAATAGAATTTTTTCCCCTTCCCCCCACAAAAAAAATCACATTACTTATTTTCCCCCTTCAAATTACAATTTTTTTCCGCAGTATTTCAACTTCTCAGAATTTTCATCTCACCAATCCAAAGTTGGACGTATGGTTAGCATCATTCTTTCATAACTTCATTTCATTCCCCCACATGTCCAGTTTAGCGTTCACCATCGTTTGACGTCCATCCTTGGTCTCCGGGCCACTAGAGGGCGATGGTTTTTCAGTTAACAAATCTTATGATCTGAAATCATATTTAGAAATAAGCTTGGAGATCATATAGTGATCCTCGGCTAGGTCGCCATTCATGGTTGATTTTTAAGCTTTTTTTTTTTCATACGGTTTTACAGCCCCCTAAAATTCAAATGTGTTTAAAATACGGGTTCACTGTTTCATTAGCTAAAAACAAAATAAACTAAAAATGAACAAGCATTAAAACAATGCAAACTGTAGTAGTGTTGCAGAACTTTCGCGTCTATGCGAGCATGATTAGTGTTTTCTGACATTTTTGTTTTATAGTGTGGATTGATTTGTGTGATTGTCTCACTACTGCCTCCGCAGGACACCAGCGGAACACGTCTAATGCTCTAGCTCGCCGGCAGACATCCAAATTAGAACGGAACAAATCCAAAAGACGTTGTGCTTTTAAATCTGATCAAGTGGTCAGTTTCGATGAGTCGGCGCTCAACAATGCTGATCCAACTCAAAAGTAGCACACTAGCACATTAGCAATTAGCCAATGCAAGGGAACCTCGCGTTGTGGAGCGCACAGACAACAGCGAGCAACCCGAGTCAAGCTTGGCGAAGTGAGCGGGCCAGCTAGCTAGCACGATCGGCTAGCTAGTCTTCGAGATTAGCCAATTTCCCGCCAGGCTCGCCGGTAAATTTAGCCGCTTTACGGCAAAGCAGACCGGACATTTTGGCGATTAGCGTCCTCCCTCAGAGCGCTTCCGGTTAGCTACGGGTCCGATCACGTCACTTCCTGGTGTCTGTGGCGGCATTCGCATCCGTGGTCTTCGTCTCCGCGGTTGCGTCTGCGTTTCCGGGCGGCTGCCCTGCGTTGGGCGCGCCCCCGTTCTGAAAGGTTTCCTTTTTGTATTGCTGCACGGCGCGACTGACGGCATCTTCCACCAATCGCTTGCTGATCCGCAGAAGCTCCGCCTCGTCGGGTTCAGACCGGCGACGACTACCTGAAAAAGAAGAAGAAAGAATTCAGGCAGCAGCATTCAGTCATTCCGAAAACAACAGAATCATTCAAGATGAGTCCAAATTAGGATTTTTGCACATGCTGGAAAGAAAACTAAGAAATAATCTTCATTAAAAAAATAATTAAAAAAAAATTTCTTGCAAGAACATTTTCTTCTTTTTTTCCAACGTTATAAAAATGACCTAACTTTTTTTCATAGTGCAGCATAACAATTTTTGTAAAAGTTTTTTTTTTCTTGTAAAATTTGGTCTTTATTCTCAGAAATTTGATGACATTTCTCTCAAGACTTTATACACACGACTCTCGCAACTTAATTTTCTTAATATTCCGAACTAATTCTGGGAACAGTTTTTTTTTTTTTTAACTACAGCGTTGCAGATTTGTTTTAGGAACACATCCCTCAGTTCTTTATCGTTTTTTTTTTTTTTAGGCTCTTTCTGAAATGACACCACAAGACGGCGCCAACGCCCTGTCTAACACAAAAGTATTGCTTTGGCGCTGTCTTCAACATTTCTGGGGAGACTCAATTACTCGCAAATATTTTTTTTATTTGTTTTTCTTTTTATTTTACAACCTAAAAAAAAATAAAAACGTATCCAATGTGTTGCACAGTAAAAAGCTTCTGCCTCCTGTAAAAACAAGCGTATCGACTTCTATCCCTAAAATACTTTATTGATCGTCGCAGGCAGGGATGCTACTACTTTTGTGCCGGTGCTGAGGTGAGACAATACAATTGCATCGCACGGTACTTTTCTTCTTTTTTTTTTTTTTAAATTGGCACCGCGAGGACCATCAAAAGCAGAGCTGACAGGCTCTTTCATCACTTGTCACCGGGCGACACCACAGCAAGCCCTTTTGGTTCGAATCACCGACATGACAAGGCAATTGACAGCCAATCGATTCAATTGAGCAAAATGAAGGAAAACAAGCTCATGGGGTCATAATCATCATCATGTCGCTCCACCCTCTTGATTCATCAATGATTGGGATTTTTGATTGGTTGTGATTATATTTTATCTGGCCATGATATTTTGCAACGCGTACTTGAGCGTTTGCGATGGAGGGGACGCGGAGTCAAATCTGCAACACAAGCACAAACATTAGTCACGGAAGGTGCTCAAGACAGCATGGTGAGACGGCGACGAAAAAAACAGTCTGGTGCCTTTCCTTGTTGTGAACGAGCGCACAAAAGGAGACGTTGCAGTCAGAGGTCGATAAAAAACAGGAAAGAAAATGTCAGCTGTTTCGTGCTCATGTGAAGCGGTTGTTCCTAATTCAAAATACAACTTCAAACATTTCCTGGATAAACATTTTATGACAGTGGCGGTCAAGGAAAGCAAACCTTGACTGGGTACTAACCTTGATATGATTCTGTAATTTATTTATTTTTGTTGCAAAAGCGGCGCAAAGTGACTCTGTGTTCCTCGGCGGTTCTTGACATTGAGGGAGAATTATTATCTGCGTCTTCAATCTGCAGCGAAGCTTTTACTGCGGCTCTAAAAAAAAAAAAAGCGCTCTGTACCAATAAGAAGCGTCGGAAGAGTATTATTATGACAGCAACTGGGGCAGAAACACATAAAAGCGTAACGCTGGCAACGAGGCTGTCTGGAGAAGCCAATTTAAACATCCCCTGATGGTACGACGCCTGTGAGCAAAAATATTGCAAAGTCACGGTATTGTACTTCATTAAAACAGTAAAAGTATATATTTCATAGAAAATGAGTAACAACTTCTTGGCTCTTCACCACTTTGTGAAGTAACAGAGCAGAAATGAACTGATGTCAGCCATGTTAGCTAGCTAGCTAGTTATCCAGCTCGGTAGTAAGCTTTTTTTTTGTCTCCTGTGCCAAGTTGTTATTAAGGAAGTTCTTGTATAGAAACGAAAGTTCATCTTAAGTACAGTTCAGATTTCAAAAGCCTGCCCATCGGGATTTGTGATGTCATCTTCAGTCGACAGCAAGTGACAAAATGGCCGCTCCCTGAGCTGGATTAAAATTGAGTGGACTTTTCTGTTTGATTCATGTTCCACAAACGCAATATTACAATGACACTGCTGCGTTTAGACTACTCGAGCCACATGGAGCACATTATTGTTAAGAAAATGTTTGATTTGATTTTGTCCTTCAAGTAGAGTGTCAATATTTTGCCTTTTCTCACACCTTCAAATCAGTTTGACACTCTTCCCGCTGATTTTCCTCAATTGTTCTTGCCCACTAATAAAGAGGAATCGTTTTAATGTATCCTGATGATCGTGTTAGTTCTTAAAGACTCGTTTAATCTTGATTTGTCCGCGAAACCTGCAGTGGAACTGGAAACATTGCCTTGTCGCCTCAAGGCCGTTGAGTCATTTGTCAGGCTTATGTTTGTGTTTGCCGCACCACAAACATCTAGTGAAAAGCATTGGAAGAGTAGATTTTAATCAAGCATGAACACCGTTTCACCATATCAATTTGATAGGAAAAAAAGACCAGCAACGGGAACCAAAAGTCATAGCTAGCAAGGACCTGGAGGGCATTTGGCAGCTAGCTTAAGTGTAGCCTCATTGTTTCCGTGACAAAGCGTCAAGCTTGTTTACATACGATTGAATTATTTAAGACTCTTAAGAGCAGACAGTCTACACAATCGTCAGGGGATGACGAGCGAGTGTCTGCTTTGGGTTTAATTCTGGGCATTGATTTAGTCTGGACTGTGTGAGGAAAAACCTTTAACGGCGCAATTACTTGGCATACCAAAATGACACACACACTTCAGTGGTGCTCAAACATCCGCCAGTTTGGTTTGGCGCTTCAGGTTTTCCTGACGAATTCCAGCCGGGCTTGTCAAACGTTCCACGTGGGAGTGAGCTTTTTATAAAATAGTCTTCAAAACTGATGGGAGCTACTACACTCAACCGCTCATTAATTACACGCAGGCACAGTAGAGGAGCTGTAATAATCTCTCAAAGGAAATTTAGCAGGTGCGCTGACTTTGTTTGCATTCGCAGCCCAATAATGTGTCAGAGTGACTAATTTCCTCCAAGACAAAAATAAAAAAAAAAAAGGCCAGCTTATTTGGGATCTAAGCGTGCAATTAGCATGTGCTAACCCTACATCTCTACCTTAAGAGATGTAGGGATGAAGGTTGTTTAAAAGTGAAAGGCGTTGAAGCGTCCTTGGAGGAGGTGGGGGCAAAATTAAAAAGATATCGGACAGAAGTCCTGGAGCAATTTCCTGAGGAAATGCCTTTGACAGCAGATACCGACGACAGCGTTCACACTCGCCCTAAAGATGCTCATGCAGAGCTGCGAGGATTCGCGGCATATTTTGGCCACACCTCAAACGAGCTAACACGACCCGACACTTAAAAACTACCATGCCGCAGGCTAACAAGAGAAGAGAAATAATAATAAAAAATAAAAAATGTTGCAATGCTCCACCAGCATTGGACAAGAAATATACACAGGATTTTTTTTTTTTTCAAACAGTGAAAAGAATGGATCAAGCTTCCTGTATATTGATTCGGTTAGATTTCGGAGCCGCCAACAAGGCCTGCCAAAGAAATTGGGGGAAAAAAAAAAGAACAACAAGTTAACGGGAAGAGAGCAAACGTTTTCGATTAGAGCTCCCTTAAGTGCGAGCTGATTTTATTCAGGTTATGTTGTGTGGGCGCGAAGTCAGAAGCAACAAAGGCTGCAACAGAAATTGGGTTGAATAACCAGAGGGAACCCGTAAAAAAAAAGGCATTCGGTGCAAGAGCATTTTAATAATAATAATAAAAAAAAAAGTCATTTAAATCGTGATATTCACCCTTTCAGGGACAGCGGTTACTACAGTGGACGGCTTATCATGTTATTGGGTTACAGGTTATCATTATTGGTGCATGAAGGGGTTAAATAGAGAAAAGCTGCAGACTGTTGGAACGGGAAAGTAGTGATGGTTCCCCCCTTCAGGCCCAATGAGTTGGCTGCCAAGACAGGCGCGTGAACGGGCAGGATGAATAAATTTATTGTTGTACATGTGAATGGTTGGTTTTCTTTTTCAGACTCCACACATTCAATCCCAGGTACTTGAGATTTTTTTATTTCCAAGAATAAGCAAAGGGTCTGAAAATGGCCGGCACCGAATGAGACATGTTGTGCGGTCGCAACGTCTGGTATGATAAAGACATTAAAAAAAACGGACCCCAACAAATCAGCTTCATGGACGGCCTGCCAAAGAAACGAAAACTGGAAAACAACCATTTTATAGTCAGGATGGGCGACTGTCGCGACCAGGAACCACGAATTGGGCCGATAGGAATCTTATTTTAGGTATCGAGTACTTCTGAAGGCTGTTGATACCAGCCACTGATACTTAAAGCAAAAAAAATAAAATAAATCTGACATTAGGTAAGTAAGTCATGGTTTTGACTCGATTATGTTGTGCCTCAAAGTATGAAGCAATGAAGTCCATGAAACTAAATGTACATGCATCAAACAGACTGGTAGAAAGTGAATGGTCCGACAAGGCGGCTGCCGAGATGGGCTGCGAAACAAATCGAAAAACTAGGTCGTTTAAAGCATCAGTCGACTGACTAAAAGAAAGATGTCATTGTAGGTGGGATCGAATGTATTCAGATTTTTGGATGAATGACGGAGAAGTGATTTATTCGAGTTTGCCTGATCGTGAATGGCCACTTGTACGCTCAGGAAAACCTGCCAGACAAGGCATGAAATCGTGAGACGATTGGTAGACACTCAGATGAGTAACGCCGTGCTCGCAGCCTCATGTTTATTCAAGGCCGGCACATTAAACGGGTGCAGCTGTGCAATGAACTGACCAAATCTGCGCCATTTCCAAGAGGATATACCCCCCTCCACCCCGTCCCGGGAAAAAAAAAAAAAAAAAAAAGGGATTCGAGCCCAAACGTCTGTTTCGATCCAGCGTTAAACAAAACAAACCAGAGCCTCGGTTCATCTCCCCTAAGTGACTCAATGAGGAAAAATGGCGAAGCGGCAGCA